TACACACAATGCTGGAGTGTTTCCCAGTTTATCCGATATTTTAGAGACAAATCTTGAGAAAAATGTCACTAACTCACTCCCATCAGTATTCTTGGCATTTATTATTTCCATATTAAAACTTGAGTAGCAATGCTTGCATCAAATGTGACTGGGAATCCAGTAAAATTGATACACAATCTGGGAGAAAGCAAGAAAGTTGAACATCCAAAAGGTTTGCGCATATGTATAAGTAGATCTGGGGATTCTTTTGACTGTCCAAAAACATTCAGCCATTTTCCTATTTGGGTTCACATGACTAAAATTTCCACTGAAATGACGTGTAAGAGATTAAGGAGAATGTGATGCAGCAGGTGACAGAGATCCTAAAAGAGAATTTTGGAGACTGTTTTAAGTAGAGGAAGGGATGTTGGATTAAATGTATGACATCCCATGGGGAATTCTTTAAAGAGCATGTTCTTTTTTATTGCACCTTAGGTAGGTTACTTTTTTTTATTAACATTAGGTGGATAGATCATTTACAAACACACACAAACACATGCATATATATATATATATATATATATATATATATATATATATATATATATATATAGTCTTAAGGTGTGCTATATTTATGGGATAAAGTGCTCAATATATATATATATATTTTACGATTCCGATGGAATAAATTATGACCATGGAATATTAGTGTTTAAGCCTTTTTATTATATCCTTACTCTGTCTTGGACATTGAGTTCTACCTGAATTCTATCCTCTTGGATTTATTTTTTATACAAATATATATGTATGTGTATGTACGTATGTATATATATTTATATATATTTTACATATATATGATTGTATAAGTATGTGTATATTTACCACTAATATTATATATATATATAATTATTTTTATTATAAAAGATTATAATAAAAACATATTGAAATCGCTACACAAAAACTTTCACGTTTCAATACTTTCATTGTACTTCTTCAGGCGATGGTAAATAACAGGTGATTAACTGATTTTTAAGGGAGATGTAACAATTGGTTTTTAAATTTCCTTAAAAATCATTTTCCTCTGTTTATAATTTGGTTGGTGATCTTCCAGAATTCACGGAATATAATTTGTTACTTTTCAGGCTCGGCCCGGACAGTTTGCGCGTAGCTGCACTTTGCTTTTTCTAGAACTCTTTTACAGCGATTTGCAAGTGTTCTAAAAGTAATAAGGGTCATATTACACCGCTACTTGTGATAAGTTTTGAAGTAGTAATTCCGGTCAGCTATGGTTACTGCGCATTTAATGGTAAACCAGGGCTGGCTGGCTGGTTTTCGCTGGAATTATTTTTTGGCGTGTATAAAACACTGAATTCCAGAAAGCATCCACTCTGAGATTTGGGCAGCAGTTTTGGGGGCAGCATGTTTGAAGAAGGTTGGGAGAGGAACTTCGGTCATATGGAACCGGAAGCTATTCCAGTCTGACTCCGCATAGCGAAAAACCGTTCTATGAAATGGTAAATCAGGGGATATGTATTTGGTTTGGAGTCAATCAGGACATTGACTAGGGAATGGTCTGGTCTGCTAATGGTCGACAAAACTTTTGCTGAGCATTTTTCAGGACAGAAAAAAAGTTCGAGGAGGTTTGCCTGTTGTCCTGTCGCACCCGGGACTCGGTTGGGTCCTTTAATGATCTGGGTTAGTTCATAGGCGATGGTGAAGTCTCTGCAATATCTGCCTTCCTCATCGGTTTTGTTTGAGTGGACTAACCATATTTTGTGGTGAACGTTGAAGTCACCGCATATGTGAAAGGTGTCCGAGGGAAATTCGAGGGGATAATGTGAATCGTCTCTGATATTCGATCGAAGATAACCGATCCTTCATCCTGAGGACGATTCAGAGCAATGAATGTGGTACAATGGATAAGAGTTTATGGACTTTTCTAAGGAGAGAAAGGTAGCCAGGAATCGAGAAATCATAGGATGGGATTGAAGAGTTATGATCAATTTCGTAAAGAGCCAGGATGTCCGAAGACTTTTGTAGGAACGATTCCACGCTGCAGAATTGGTACGAAACCACAAATGATGGAAAGAAATGTTAAAAGGTTGAGATGCTATTTGTTGGACTGGTTTAGGTTTATATCTTTGGTTTGGTGTGTTATATTGGTAAAGGAAAAGGCATAGTGTAGTAGTAGTGATCTGTCACCTAATGTAGCATTTGCAGGAAGGGAACTGGTGCAGACTCCAACATACTGTGGCTTCAAGGGTTGCTCACCGGAGATACTTGCAGGGAGACACACCTCAATGATCTGGGTTGGTTCATATGAGATGGAGACATCTCCGAAATATTTGCCTTTTTCATCGGTTTTGTTTGAGCGGACGAACCACTCCTTGTGGTGAACATTGATGTTACCGAATATGTGAAGGTGTCTGAGGGAAATTCGGTGGGGATAGTGTCAATCCACTCTGATATTTGATTGAAGATTACCGGCCCTTAATCCTGCTGAGGGCGAAGGTTGTACTATGGATAAGTGCCACACGGAAACACATATACAGGAGATCAGGGTCCTCGTTTTCTTTTTGTGTCCCTGACACAGGGAAGCCCTTCCTTGATGTAGGCATCGAGTCCGTGACCGTGAGGATTTAGGCGGTCGTATTTTGTTACAATGGGGGTGAGCAGCCCGGGATTGGGAGCTCCTGCAATGGGATTAAGGGTTTTTTTTAGGTTGGTGTTTCTAATTTTGTTCATTTTTCAATTTGATTGCTTTTATGTTTATTTTGGTTTGTTTGGTAGATGACTAGTAAGCAGTGAAACATTGAAAATGTACGCATAAAAAAAACCTGGGTTGACTCGCCCGGAGATACTGCCGTAACTGCATCCATCATCATGGCATCGAGAGGCCCCACCAGAGACTATTGCCCGGTCCAGAAACCATTCGCGTCAGCTTGCTATTGTTTTTGGAATAACTAACGGCTTAGAGGTTTAAACGTAAATAGTCTAATTTGATTGGTTAATTAATTAATATGAATGACCCCCTGGTGTATTCTCTAAGCAGATCGCCAGATATCAATTGGTCCGATTTTCTTCCAGAAACCATGTACGACTCTATTTTTAAAGGTCTCTGATTGGTTGCTATCTAGTTGTGATATTTCTTGCTATTGGCTGTTGTGTGGAGACATATGTGTGTATACCTCACAAACATAGAGAAGGCCAGAGAATACAATAGTCTAAACACCGTGATGATAACACCCAAGACTATTATACTAGTCCGAACAAATCACGGTATAATAATTTATTTAGTAATTCCCAAAAGCACTAAACAGTCATAATGGACAGGTCTATAGAAATTAAACTCTATTTCCAACACAATGACATGCCAACATACATACCATATTAAAATACGTCCAAAATATTAGTTGCTACCCAATAACAGACAATATTGCAAACATACCAAAAAGATTCCACAATACAACAGACGCCGTTTAAATCAAAATGTCAGAAATTAATATCACCATGTGAAATATTTGACCAATCAGAGAAAACATGTTGTTCCAATTTTGGCATAAGGCCGAATGGGAAGTGGGGTAAACATTAACTATCGTAGACCTAGCTAATCAGATTCACAACCTATTCATTCATTACAATTTAGTCATTCACCACAAGAACTCATCTGTCACCATTCAATCCTACATGTACCAAAATACCACATATTCACAGGGGAACTACAAAACACTCCATGTTGTAAAAATTTATAATGTCTTTATAATGTCTTTTTTGGTATTTGTCTTTTTTCTTTTTTTACAAAAATATATAAAATGTTATATCATAAGGAAAATGATGGGGGAGGGCATGATCCCAAAATCAAAACTAAAGAATGAAACAAAAACAAACTAAAACAAAACAGATGTTAGTAGGGCCCGTCCATCCTTCAAAATTATGAGGGAGGCCATTGTATTCTGCCGTTGAACAGAATCAAGAAGCACACTCACTAATGAAGTGGGGAAGGAAAAAAATAAACAGTGGAATGGGAAAAAAACAAAATCTGATCGAACCGAGATGAAAAAAAGGGGACAAAACCAAACTGGAGAGGTTGGGAATCTTGACATGGCTCATACCAAAAGAGAATGCCTGGAATAGGCTGGGAACAACACTTATTCGCATTAACTAGGAAAACATAAAACAGTCTAATTTAACCAGGGTAGGGTTCTCAGGAAATCGCTCCGTTTTGCTCAAGGGGACTTAAAGGAGAAAATCAAGGCTAGCCCCATTCACGCGAACCGGGTTCGCCATCGATACTCACCGTTCGCTGAAATCTGTTGATATCAAACGCTTTCTGTCAGATGTGATCTTCATCCTCACCTGATGCCCAAAGAATCCAACCAGATCCTGATGAGAATAACACTCATATCGCAAGATTCCCTGCATTCGCGACGTCCATACGACAATTCTTGCCATGGCTAGCACCGTGAGAAACACCATCCGTTCACCCCGGAGAACAAGGGCGACACATTGTCACATTTACACGAGATCAATGGACACAATCTGATCGGGAGCAATATGAGCCGACATAGTCCCAGAAAAAGCGCACCTGAGGACAATGTTAGAAGGCATACGAAGCCGTTTCTTCTAAACCAAGGTCACATCGATGACAGTCGGGCAAATCCGCCAAGCGTCATTCTGAATGCTACGTCACCGAGAGGCAAAATGTTACGAATCAATCGCCAGGTAAGCGAAAATTCAAGGTTGCTGAGATAGTTCGCCACTGGAGCTCAAAAGCAGAAACAGCGTAACTCTAATGCTGACAAGCCGAGCCGGTCACAAAGGCGATCCGTCACAACCCCCTCTAAATCACGATACAATAGCCTACGAGGCCATGAAAGGTCACTGGACCGAGGAAGAGCCCTTAAGTCCTCCTGACACTCTCGCAGGAATTTCGATTGATACCAAGGCTTGCGGTGGCGCTCAGCCTCGGGAACGAGTTTATTCTAGGCAAGGCGTCCCTAACATTCTCTTCCAAAATCGACATGGACAAGATCCACCCTCGCATCCACTCCTACCTTGAGCTGTTTCTTGTTCGCTTCACGCTGGCGAAGCGGGCACAGATTGGGTTCTGGCGGCTACCAGGGCTTTCTCCGCCGCACTCCGCCCTACTCCGACCAGCTTTCTTCTTCTTTTTCACGTATATCAGATTCTCTTCATCCTTTTCTGCGTCGAGGAACGAGGTGGAGGCATTTCCTTCACCTTCATTAATAAATCCAGTTGTGTTAGGTCTACTTCCACCTGCTCGGGTTGCTGGTTTTGCTGGATCTTCTGCTGCTTGCCTTCCAGCTGTTGCTGCTCTGGCTGCTGCTACTGCTGCTGCTTGTGTTGCTGCTGCCGCAGCTGTTCTAACTTTTGCTGCTGCTTGTGTTGCTGTTGTGGTTTTTGCTGCTGCTGATGATAATGATGAAGCTGTGTCTCAAGCTGCTTCTGTAGTTGCTGATGTTGCTGCTGCAGATGATGATGATGACGGTGTTGCTTAGGCTGAGTGGGCATTGGCTCATTTTGCTGGGAAGACTTGACCATTGTGGTCCTAGCCTCAACAAAACACAAAACAAAAAATTTCCATCAAAAACGGAGTGTACAAATTCATACAGTAAAATAAGTAAGACACGTCAAAACAACAGTGACAAATATAACAAAAATAACACTCACAATAACAAGGCTTCCAACCAACGTAAAACTTATTCCAACAAAGATTTTAAATCAAATCCCAACGGGGGAAGGGAAATGATACAATCTGAATGGGAATGATTGCAAATCACTTTTCCCTCTCCAATTTATATTCAGAAGCACACGAATGCATGCTGGGATTTTTTCTTAACCAATAAAATACGCTTGTTCTTCGTTTCAATGATTCAATCCCGATCTGTCTTGTCTTGAAGTCAGAACGCTACTTTCGTTCATCCGAATTTGCTTTGTTCTGCCATGTATTTACACTTCACCATAGCCACTAACGCTACAAAAAAAACAAAAAACAAAAACAAAAAAACAAAAAAAACTAAAACCCTATTTTCTCGAGCCTACATTCATGAAAAAAATTACCAGATTTCGACTTTCAAAGAGCCAATGTGCAACTGTGACTACATAGCTTTTTTCCCCAGCGCATGCTGAAAGAATCGTGTGTCGGCAACGTCAAAAGAATCATTTCAAATAACAGGTTGCCCAGTTAGTGAATCTTCGCTGGTAGCCAGTCGGAAACTTCGAACTTCACCTCTAGCAACAATAATAACAACAATGATGGTCAGTAGATTTTTGCTTCAACTACAGATTTTTTTTTGTGGGGACCAACTATTTAAAAGTATTTTTAAACTATAGCTATTTTCTGTGTACTAACTACTCAAAAACTCAACTAAAATCTATTTTTTACTTCTTGAACTCATGTACATATCTTTATATATTTCTGAGATTAGGTATTGTAATTATTACACATTATTTACATTGTTTGGATTGTTGTCCTCATCTTCGTTGGCGACGTTCAGACGAGTGGAATTTCGAACTGAACCCTTTATTTCGTTCACCTGGGTAGATTGTTCTAGTTCCACGTGCCATTATCATGTCCAAGTATCATTTATTTCCCTTTAACTCAACAAGCTTTTTCCACTTCTACTCTAGGCAGGTATTGAACTCACAACTCTTTGGGTCAAGTCACTAGATTCAACCAGAGCTTTTATCCACTGGGACATGTATCCCTGAGGAAATCAGTGTATAAATTTTGGGGACATGTAAACTTAATGTTTCAGTAATCATTTTTTACTAGAGCTTATACAGAGAAACCTCAGTTCACGAATTTAATTCGTTCCTGAAAGACGTTCGCAATCCGAAATGTTCATAAACCGAAACTATTTTACGAATAGGAATCAATGTAGAGAACAAAAAAAGTCACAGTACAATAAAATTGAAAAAAAAAGCACAACGCAACAAAAAATATACGCAACACGGTGGTCGAATGTTGTTCGAGAACTGAAACTGTGTTCGATAACCGAGGCATTTTCAGCTCGAATTTTCTGTTCGAAAACCGATTTGTTCGATATGTGAGATGTTCGAGAACCGAGGTTGCTCTGTATTACAATTCTGTTGTTATTTTTCTCTATAGGCACGTAGCCGAGTGGCTAGAACATTCGCATTCTGACCATTAGACTCAGGTTCGAATCTCAACATGGTCGATTTGTCAGAAAGAAGGGGTTGATCCCAGCGTACGGCACCTTTGGAAAGTGCCTGAAAACCATACCACGGGTTGAAACAAGCCGTGATATGGTTTTGCTAGCATCCAAGTTGATGGAACCCTTGGGTTCTAGCAGGAAGTCACAAGTCTTCGTGGCCTTGAAGGCTTGAGCGGGCTGGCCTCGTTCAAACTGTTGATCACGTTAGGTAACGCTCTCTTTCCCAGAAACTGTAACTAATGTCTGCTCAGCATAGTTGGAGTATAAACCATAGGTGTGCTCTGTGGGTATTGAAAAAAAAAAAACACACAAATGCGCCTGAGCAACGTGTATCCTCGAATACGAGTGGCCAGCTATATATATTTCTTTAGCGATCCGTATTCAGTCGTTAATATGGAAATGAAGATGAGGACAACAGTTCGAACAATGTAAATAATGGGAATAATTACAATACCTCATCTAAGAAATATAGACAGGTCCTGAAGAAGACAACAGTGACCGAAACGTCGTAAATATGACAATAAAGATGAAACAACAGTTCGAACAATGTAAATAATGTGAATAATTACAATACCTCATCTAAGAAATATAGACAGGTCCTGAAGAAGACAGGAGCATACAATGACCGAAACGTCGTAAATATGACAATAAAGATGAGGACAACAGTTCGAACAATGTAAATAATGTGAATAATTACAATACCTCATCTAAGAAATATAGACAGGTCCTGAAGAAGACAGGAGCATACAATGACCGAAACGTCGTAAATATGACAATAAAGATGATTTTTAATATAAGAAAAACATGGACGAGTGAATTTCCTACGGACCTTCTTCCATTTGGAAGATTGCCTTTATTTTATTTGCCTTCTGCCATACTGAACTAAACTTAATAAATATGTGTAATTGAGGGCATCGAATCAAGAACACATTGACTGAATATCGAAAGATCTCTTTGACGAAAAGTTAGCCAATGGCCGGCGTTCTCAATGAGGCTAGTTTTGAAATCCAATCTCAAAGCGTGGGACGTTACCGTCCATATCTGAGAGAAGATAACACTAAACTGTTCAGATAGGCGAAAGATCTTCCGCCGCATCGATCAACTTCAAGAGCGTCGACTTCAAGAGCGTCGACTTCAAGAGCGCCGACTGCATTTCTAATTTTTCTTCAGCCCGAATCTTATCAAGTGCACTTATAAGGATAAATGTCTCAATAATTATTGAAGCAGCAAGATGACTAATGGAAACATAATTGCAAACTTACATATTAAATATCTACAATAATGGCTCATACACTACCAGCATATTTTTAACGAGATAGGAAAACATTAAAATTTAGGTTCAATATGACATTGTTATCCATAGTCAGTGTCGGACTAACATTTTTGGGCTCTCAAGCGTGAACAGATATGTGAGCGCTTTCGCAACAAGCAACAACAGATTCAACGATCCAACTGCCAAAATGTAGGCTATAAATAGATTCTGTCGAGCTCAACGAACTATACAGCTGCAGGTTCGGGTGCTGCAAACCCCACAAAACAATTTTTTAAATTTTACCAATTACAGGGGGATTTTGATGCCATATGAAATGGATATTATAGCATATTCTAAGGTCAACATTAGCCACTTCAACCCATTGGCCTATGATTCTATCACTAAAATGGCCATAAAACAATCCCTAAAAAAAAAAAAAACAAAAAAAAACAATCGATTTTGTTGAAAAGTTCACTAAAAAGTTGCGTCAGGGGCCATTCTGGGATTAGGGGCCCTGAAGCTTAAACTTCATTTGTTTCATAGTGGATCTGCCATTGCTCACGCCACATGTTCCAATATAATGGTGAAATTTAGGTGCATCCAAACATTTTGACTCTACAACTTCTGCCGTATAATAAGAGAGGGGACACAACTCTCCCGCTAAGAAATATATTTGAATTACGTATCAAACCAACTAAAAACAAAATGATAGCAATTCTGAATTTCTGGAATGAGAAGCTATTATTTACACTATTTACATGAGGACTATTGTCCTCATCTTTGTTGTTGTTATCACAGCGTTTCAGCCGCTGTGCTCTCCGGCCTTCATCAGATGTATATTAATCCGGGTATCTAACAGGGCTTTCCAAACTTAATCCATTATTTAATCTACGGGGGTAGAGTGTTCTCGAACCGCCAGCAATGTCTTGTAGGAATATCTCATCTAGATCTTCAACAGCAGCAGCAGCTATAACAAAAGAGAAAAGCCTCAGTGAGTGCAGTCAAGCATGGCAAGCAGCATCACTCAACAGGTAGGTTAGGTTTAAGGCTCCAAGTTCAGAAAATTGTCCCACTGGACAATAACCTAGTAGATTAAAGCGTAGTTTCGTGAATTTGGTGGCATAGTAATTGTGAGTTCAATCTCTGAACCGGGCAGAGTGAATTTGGACTCAGTGGTCAGGGCGAGCAATAACTGAGCATTACTAAAAATAAGAATTAGACGCGATATCACTAGACATGGGCAGTGGGACGAGAACAGTCTCCCTCCATAGATTAAATAAAGGATCCAGTTCAATCCCTGGACCGGGCAGTGTGTACTTGGGCTTAGTAGTAAAAGGTTGAGCAATAACTGAGCAGTACTAGACGAGATGTCATGGGCAATAGAACGAGAACAATCGACCCAGGTAGATTAAATAAAGCGTTCAGTTCGAAATTCCTTGTTGTTTACCCGGATCGACACACACCTGACAAAAGCCAGGGAAGGGGGTACAGCGGTCGAGACTGTGATAATAACAACAAAAATGTGGACAATATTAATATGAGATTGACTCAGTTTTTGATGCTTTTCAAAAAACATTTATTAAAAATTTGTCTATGACTTTTTCTGCTTAGATTTTACTCTCCTGGAAAATGTTTTGCGAAGTAGTTTAAAAATTATTATTTTTTACTAACACAAGGCACAAAAGCCACTCAAGGTAGAGGGTTACTGTGTGGAGTTATATTAACTTAGGAAATGATTGTTGATTCAAAAGGTTGTTACGCAATGCCA